TGCACAGAATGCAAACGCACCAGAAGTAATTACATAAGGATCTTCTGAAGTGTCATGTAAACATGTCTTTCTAAAGCGCAATTTCGGCTTAATTTGAATGTGTAATAATATGCCGATAAACACAAATAAATAAAATACTGTACAAATCCAACTGCTTTTCCACTTACATATAGGTGGGCGTGCCTTGAGACGTCGACACGAGCTGCGCAACACGCACGTACGTTTACGTAATGACGTCTATGTGAGGAAGTAGACACGTGGGGATAGGAAGGCTTTGCTTTTGAAATTAAGAAGGCCGGAGACGTTAGGTATGATTTTTCACTCAAATAATACTTTACGTTTATGGGACGGTGTGTACATGTGAACCAGTAATATATAAGTCTATTCTTCTAAATGAAAACGTGTCTATTTTGTATATTTGTATTACATGATTTGTAATTACTTGTGGAGTTTTACGGATGGTGACACTGGGTGATTTACTTTTTGTTACTGATTTTCTTTGACCGTTTGCCTGCATCTTAACGTATCCACCACATGATTTTTTTGACCGTTAACGTATTAAACATACCTTTGATGTCATTATGTATTTGTACGGTACGACAGTATTTCCGATCATGTTTTCCTCATTTAATATGTATAATGTTTTCTGGGTGTCTAGCAATATTGTCCCGCTGTCGCCGTCCATGTGCTGTTATGTGAACTTCAGTGGATGCCTGTATTTGCAGACTGCGAATATATCAGCTTCCCCAGTAACTGGCCATGGCAGTGCGGGCATCCTTTGAAAAGAACAACGAAATCGGCTGTTTTGCTAAGCTCACAAACACATACTGCCTTGTAGCCATAGGTGGATCAGAGAACTTCTACAGGTTAGTCACTATAATTACTAAGACAAACGCTGAAACGAACTCAGTAATATCAGAGGTGTAAATGAGCTGAACTCATCTGAACACACTGGGGTTTGTAAATATATAGTATCTGAACGCTACTAACTTCGTATAGTACGTATTCTCGTTTCTGTGTTAGGGATCTTTTATACTGACCGTGTTTAGTGTTATATCGACAAGATACGTTAACGAGCTTTGGGTACCTTTACGAGTGTGATCTCTTCTTCTCATTAGTGTGTTCGAAGGTGAGCTGTCAGAAACCATCCCGGTGGTACACGCGTCAATAGCAGGATGTCGTATTATTGGAAGAATGTGTGTCGGTAAGTCTGGATATAGAAATCATTCCAAATGAAAGTACACCAGAATTTGGGGATATCTTGGGTTAGTCCTCATGAATAGAGTTCTGTTTGATTGTTAAATGCAATAAGTCTTTGTACTGTTTTTGGGTATAGTTTTGTCATAAACACTTCAGTACTTTAGCACTTCTTTGTTAGGATAGCACACCAGGGAGCCTGTCATAAATGCTGTTATTTCTTCCTCGGCTCCTGATTAATTAATTGTGCTTTATACGAGGATTTAATTAAAGCTCTGAATGGAATTCGAAATAACATGTTTCAGCACATTTTTACAGTTATTTTGCAGATGTGCTTATATGCAGAAAACATGTATAACTGATTTAATTTCTTGAACTTAATTCATTCACATAGGTTCAGCACTGGTTTTTCCTGGATTTTTATGAATCATAATAGTCTGCACTCAATTTTTCAGCTTTTATATGTAAGGTACATATCAGAAATGTGCATTACTTGTCTGTACACCTACTGTTACTTTAGAGTGACTATGGCAGATGAGCACAGATCAGCAGGCCTGTTACGGCCGTTTCATGAAGAGGTGGCCGAGGACGTCAGGCGTAGGGGCCGTCATGAGCACCGGCACACTGGCCTGTTTGACAGAAATTAAATTCCAGCGTGTGCTGCTGAATAACACAGAGCAGAGACACAGACCTCTTCCCTACAACCTTATTTGCCCCTTTTAGCCATGTATCATGATTATCAAATCTGCAAGACCTGCTAGTATTTAATGTGCGTCCCCGTTATGAGTAGCTGAGTTGGACTACTGCAGTATTACTGTGCTTAGCACTTTATGTGAAATGTGATGTTTCTAAGTCTTATTTGTCTTTATTGAGCTATTGTACATCTAATTGTCTATTGCCAGTTTATTTGTATGCTGGGTGTGGCTTAATAAGCATTCCAGTGCACTTGTGGCACACAACCAATAAAACATATTGAATCTAATTGTGAGAAAACACTGTAATATTTATTCTGTGCTGATTAACATAAATATTAGCATAAATGTCTGAAAGAGCACAGCTCTTATTGGAAAGGATTAATGCACATTTACAAATGTAAACTATAAGACTTCAGCATTTGTAAATGTACATGTGGGTCTCTCAGTAAACAGGCCCCTCATCTGCTGACAGTCACAGAGACAGACTCGCTGTGTGTCTGCAGGTAACCGGCATGGCCTTTTGGTGCCCAACAACACCACGGACCAGGAGCTGCAGCACATTCGCAACTGTCTGCCAGACACTGTGAAGATCCAACGTGTGGAGGAGCGCCTGTCCGCCCTGGGGAATGTCATCGCCTGTAACGATTACGTAGCTTTGGTGCACCCCGACCTCGACCGGGTAAGACAGAGGGAGCAGGATCCTGAGCATCTTTAATTGCCTTTTACACTGCCTGGGTCTTTCTGTTTTTAACTGTGGTTATCGATCTTTAAAGTGAGCTTTCCTTGAAGTGGCATACACATATAATTTGCCTGTCGAGTATATTTATCACTGCATATATAAAGGCAGATTATCGTGCCTACTAATGATACTAATATACTACGCTCAAAAACCATTGTCAGTTAAATATAAAATGCATGTAGGTATATTGTTTGCAAAGTCAGTGGCCATTGATATAACTAAATCACTAAACCTGGAACAGTGTCTTGAAGGATGTTCAGGTGCTCACAAGCAGTGTTGACCAGTGCCCCACTGTGCTGTAACAGGAGACAGAAGAGATCCTAGCAGATAGCCTGAAGGTGGAAGTATTCCGGCAGACCGTGGCGGAGCAGGTATTAGTGGGTAGCTACTGTGCCTTCAGCAATCAGGGAGGTCTGGTCCATCCCAAGACCTCAATTGAAGACCAAGATGAGCTATCGTCACTTCTGCAGGTGCCACTTGTGGTGAGTAGCCATGCTGGGCCCTTGAGCAAGGCCCTTAATCCACAATTGCTCCAGAGACTTTAAAAAAGCATGTTGCTATAGATAAAAGCATCTACCAAATAAAAATAAAATAAAATAGTGAACACAATCACGTGACATTGCATTATATTCAGTGGGTGGTGGTTTGATTGTAGTTTGTTAAAATGATTTTATGGTACAGTGCAGTGTGTAGCTCCTTCCTTTCCTGTTTCCTTCCCTTCCTGGTATGAAGCTCCTGATAATCAAGACCCAAAGGTATAAGAGGCTGTCGATAATGGGTGGATTACTGGTGCGGTCATGGTAAAAGTAGTGTAACAGTGAGTTTTTACCGGCTTCCCTTCCCGCTCCAGGCAGGAACAGTAAATCGAGGTAGCGAGGTCATCGCAGCAGGCATGGTGGTGAACGACTGGTGTGCCTTCTGCGGGCTCGACACCACGAGCACCGAGTTGTCAGTGATCGAGAGCGTGTTCAAGCTGAGCGAGAGCCAGCCAAGCGCCATAGCCACCAACATGCGAGACTCCCTCATCGACAGGTCAGTGTCCACAGGCGGGGTGCATAGGGTGAAGGGTCACATGATCAGTCACATGATCAGTCACATGATCAGTCACATGATCAGTCACATGATGAGCACCAGCAGAATGCTGCTCTTTAATTACAAATCATTACAAATGATCAAAATGCTGTTGATATCTTGCATGGACTTCATGCCTGTAATGATAGATTTGGTTAAATTTGGGAATAAAAATGGTATAGTTTATGGTATATTTTCTTGATTTGGATTCAGCCATTCAGTGCAAGTCTGTTTTGTACCTCAGCTTGTACATTTCGGGTTGTTTTTTAAGCACACAAATTTCACACACATTTCTTTTACAGCCTCACATAACCCACCACTCCTGGATGAATGTGGGTTCAGTGAGTTTTGCAGACTAACGGCACAGAAGTTCAGCCCATGAAGAAGACGTCATCTTTTTTTCTTTGCATCACATATAACACCCAATAGTTCTTATAAAATTGGTTATTTCTGTGGGGTTTTTTTGCTCTATAATCTCCATTGAGAACAGAAGCAGAATCTTGGTGTGATTATGTTCTTTATGGATGTCAAATCTAAGCATGTAACTGTCTGACTTAACATGTATTTATATGTTCAGATCTAGTTACCACACCGTCTTCTGTCCCGTGGAAAATGGTCCTTTAGAAGTCCATTGACAAATTTTAAGAAATAAAATATGCTGCAAGCTGATTGATTGAGGATGCTCTTGATGTGGATCTCGGGGTTGCATTTTGAAAACAGTGGTGTGAAACGTAGTTTTTTACCTCTGCCAATAAGAAATGCATGGTTACAAACACATTAAATCTGTTGTACTGATCAAAATCATATTGCATAATGTTTTCCACTGGTGACCGTATTCTTCGGCACTTTGCACCAAGTGTCTTCTTGGTTTATTCATTCTAATTTAGGCCAACATGAAAAGTGGGCTTAGAATTACAAGTGTGCTGAATTTGTAAACCGGCTTAACTGTTTAAAATGGGGATGCTCAAAGAGAGCAGTTTAAGAGTTATTTACTGCGTTTAACTGCATGACCAGAAGGTTAGACTGCACAAAGAATCCAATTGGATTTATGCATTTAAGACATACTACTCCGATGGATTTTATTAGCCATCTTCAACTGAAAAATGTGATTATAATCTGTTCCAGCCTTATAATGGATGGATACCTTGCATTGCTAAGGAAACCAAGGTTTGGCGACGTACATAAGGGAGGAGGCACAAGCAAACCCTCCATTAAGATCATAGGTAGATGGCCATTGGTGCTTGTACCTGCAGTACAGTTATAGCTGTTTACTTGGATGAAACATCAGTGCTACTCAATGCAGTATTTTCTTTTATTGGCAAATACTTTAAATAAACGTTACAACAGTAGTTGTATATACATTTCCTTGTAATGACCTGGTGACATTTCTGCAAACTTCACAAAGACAAGATATTTTGTTATGTACTAGTACATAAATGGTTTATCCTTCAAAATCACACAGGCATTTTTGTGCTTGGAAAATACAGGGGTGGGGAATGAACATTTTTTTTATTATTATTTATTTTTTAAATCAATGGCATAAATCAGTAAACCGCAAACAAAAAGCATGCAAGATAATATTCCACAAACCTTTTCATTCAATCATTGTGTACAATAGTCACATCTATAGATAACTTATACATCTATAGATTTATGTGTATTATTTCTATAGTTGCAGGCCCATATTATAATATATACATAGATATATAGATTTATACAGAAGTGTGTATCATCATGTATATAAATATATACATATACACTACACATAAAACAGTACTACCATTGCCTAATATTTCTTTCTTTATATTCCTGTTTATTCTGAGTGCAAAGAAGCATGTTTGTTCCTAAATTAAAGCAATAAAAAAAAGTAATAAAACAATGCTACAGTAAGAGAACAGGCATCCCAAGCCTTGTCGTTAAGGGTTTTGCTAGATGAATGATCATTACACCAGACTAGAAGAGACCAGAGGGGTAGGTCAAGGATCAAGGCCTCCACTTTCAATTAATTTTATCTTACTCCATCTGAAGGATCTTAATTCCTCCAGCAGAAAACCAATGGCAAAGGGTAGACAATTAAAAATAATGCACAGATTTACCCAAAACATCTCCAGCAATAGGATCCTTGACTTGTTCATTCTATTTGCACTACTATTTGTGAACAGTAATATGAGTCCAAGTAGGCATCAGAGCTTAAAGAGGCAGAGGAATACAGCTCAGCCAATATCACCCTGGGACAGTTGCCATTCTTCCTTCTAAGGGAGCTGAGAGGACTAAAATGACCCCATACCCACCCTACCCCCATTAGGAAACTCTTATAAGACCAGATTGTTAAAAATGTGCACACAACATGAAGGACAGACAGAGGGAAGGATTCACACAGAGCATTTCTGTATACACGCTAGAGACAGGAAAAAGCCGCACCTCTTCCTGCTTAACACCCCTGGGGGGGGCCGGTGCCCAGGTCATGCCAAACCAAGAGGTCCAGGGAGAAAATACTGCAGGCATGTAACATGCCCCAAGCTCTCTCACCTTCTCCTCCTCACACCTTAACAACCAAAGGTCTCCTGCGAGGCATAGACCATGTAGAGGAAGCCGTCCTCGTCGCGCTCCTGCTCGTAGATCTCTGAGATGGGCGTGGAGACACTGACCATGCTGTGCTGGTTGACCAGGAGGAAGAAGGCCTGTGTAGGGTTAAGCTGGAGTCGACGTCTGCAGGGAGGGAGACAAGAAAGGATTTATCAAACACGGAGAAGACCACACCCCTCCTTAACACATGCATGATTTACCCCGGCACAGGTGTGGAGTTGATTACCAGTTTATTATTTTAGATATCTGCCAAATTCCATACATTGGTCTTCCTTAGTCTAACCATTAACAGATTGTGTAACCACTGACAGGCAAAACAGGTGATGTTTTAAGCTTCAAACGCATCAAATCCTTTTTCCTCAGGCTTGACATTTGTTGATTTAACAGATACTTTTTTCCAAAGCAATATACAATTGAGAAAGCAAGGTAGAACACTCCCTGAAGCAACTGGGGTTAAGGACTTCAGCAGTGACATCACCCTGCCGACCACAGGATTTAAACCAACGACCTTCTGACCACAGGGCAGTTTCACTCCGCAGAACCACATACTGCAAACAAAAGGTTCCAAGTCAAGCTCTACAGTTGTACAGTGGAATAGGCGCATACGAAAACACACTCGCCGTATAACTGGGCAAAGTTCTTTTCAATAAAAGCATAAAACAAACACAGTAAATCACGACCATTCACTGATTAGCCAAAGAAGGAAGAAGGCAAAAAATTATACCTTCATTTATGAGATGGTATTGAAAATGTCCAATAGCTTATTTTTAGAATATGTGCACAGGATGCAAAGTATTGATGACTAAACAAATGGGATAGAGTGTCACACACCTCATAGCAACTGAGATTGGACAAGCTGTAACAGGGTTTTACAATAATCCACAGGGCCAGTGGGTCACAGAGTCCACACATACGTACCAGGCTAGACATGCCAGAAACCATTAGAGGGAACACGCATCTCATCGCAAGTCACATGTTAGCAGGCAGTAAAGAAGGCAGCCCTCGGGTGTCCCAAAGTATGCCAGAACATTAACAAATTTCAGAAACAGTTCTATGTCCTTGACATGAAATTACTCAGAAATGTATTGACCCTGTTACTGTCTGTCTAATCAACCTCTGCTCCAATTCACAGGTTAAAACCTGAGGCAAGGTGAGTGTGTTTATGGTGAGGGTTTATCCTCAGCGTAGATCTGTGCAGAGGAGGAAAGTTCAGGTGCAGAAAGTGCAAATCCAGACCAAGGTTTCGTTTCAACCAACCAGTTAAGTATAAGTAACTTGTTGGCTGAATCAAAACCTTGGTCTGGATTTGTACTTTCTGGACCTGAACTTTCCACCTATGGTTATGTGTCACCCAGATGTGACCCAATTGGGGTGGAGGAAGTCAATTATGACCTGATCGCGAGTGAATGACACTCATTACTCCCTCATTACTCTCATGATAGCTCTAGCAGCATGCCCTACCCAGGTTTTAAACTTAATTCTCAAAGCCAGAGCCCAGTGCTTCTATAAATAACTGAAAGCAAATGTTTATTTTTAGTGTTGGGGGGTGCATGGGACAGACTGCCTCGAACGCTGATGTACTTGACTTTGAGACGTTGCGAAACTGCCCCCATGATCAACAACACACTTCGATTACCAGCCACGACCAAAAAGACACGCACATGTACTTTTCCAAAATATATGGGATTGGTAAAGTTACATATAATACTTGTAGGTCATGATGAAGAAGGGCGGGTGGGGCGGGTTTGGCTTGCATTTAGAAATTTCTGAAGCATTACATGAAAGTCTGCCACAGCTAATTGGTGGCAACAGGCACCGGCTATTTTCTTCAAAGGCTTCCCCGTCATGTGGGTCATGGAGATCTTTATGAAAGGGATGGCTAATAGCCCAAACCTCTGCAACTCTGGGAGCTTCTCAACAGTCTCCAGGATTCCAGGAGTCAGTGTCCCCATCTAGGAGACTTACAGATGTTCTGGATTATGCCTGTCTGCACTGTTTCCCCAGAAGTACCACTCAAACTCTTTTAAGGGGTTGGGAAGTGATTTTTAATTTTTTAACTTTTCTCCTTCATAGTGAGTTGTCACCTCTACATGGTTTCCTGTAGTGTGGCCTACAGCGACTTTCTCCTAAAACGTAACATAATAAATAAAATGATTGATACCTCACATTCTTATAGGATCTTTCAGTACTCACTAGACATATAATTACTGTGAGCAACTATCATAAATTAATCAGTTGTAAACGCAATGCTAGAATCATAAGCATAAGACTATAAACAAGCAGAAGTGATGATTTGAAAGAGTTGCAGGTTCAGCTTTATTCATACTGTGATTTGACCTTTCACAAAGCTCCTTAGCTGAAGCATTGAGTGAGGGCTACCTTCATGCGTAATTGCATTATGAGTCACGCTGTCAAAATGCAGTCACGACACTGTCCTGCAGTTAAATTTAAAACGTAATCTCATTTCCATTACAAACCAGGGAATCAAACATTTATGGCCCTGCTAAAATTAATAACCCTGTTTATTAAGACTGCATTTATCATGTGGCAAGAATAGATCCTTCTCATATATTATTTGTCAAGAGAAATATGAAAAATTAAACCTTTGATAAGCAACATAAAGCTGTTTTTGATGTCGCGAACGTTTTGCCCAGGGGCCCACACAACCCATAATCCATCTTGAGAGTTGGACATGATTCTGTATCCTTCAGCTTACAAGTACAAGTGTCAAGAGGAGCCCTTCTGTTCAAGTCTTGGCAAGACACTTAATTTCTAGTTTCCTTAAACACTATCTAACATACAGGCCGTCGGCCTGGAAATACACCAACTGTGTACATAAGATGACAGTCATTGATAGTGCCCTATGTCCTTATTCCACTCCGACTGTACCACAAAAACCTTTCTTACTACAGACACCAAAGCTACTGAATCATCTGGGAATTGTGAAACTGCAGACTGTCATCTCCAAGTTTTTAAGCAAAACTTGGAGCAAAAAAAAACAAGAGAAGGTTACTATTTCCAGGCATCGTTCGAATTCAGCTGGTGTCTCTCAGCTCTGTAAATCACCCTACGCTACAGATCTAGAATGGAATACTATAAACCAGTGACGTTAGCGCTTTTCCCACTGAGCCCTCCTTTAAAAGCACCAGCGTAACGGATACTGCTCACAGGCAGGGCCACCGTGTTCAGCTGAGCCTCAGAAGGCCTGCATGCAGATATTCTGAAGCAAACCATGAAACGAGACTCATTTTAGGCCATGACTTCAGGTGGCCTCACACAGAAAAGCTTGAAACGTGAACAGTTACAAGTATATCTATAGTACTGGCCTAACAACATCAGGATGGAGAACCTCACCACCACTTAATAAATCTCTGAGATTGCCATGAAATAATGCAATCGTTATATATAAGTGTGTGTGTGTGTTTGTGTTTTAAAGATTTATCAGACACTAAAGACATGCTGTGATATCCTTACCTGATTATCTTCACCAATTCACTCATGTTGACGTGATCAGGAACCAAAAATTTGGTCTTGTCCAGCACTGGTAGCTGTTTTTCTCCCTTGTACCTTTCAATGATTACCTATAATATAAAAGAGTAAATACTGTATAAATGACTACTTCTTGTACCATACAGTTAAAATTTTGGTTAATTGCAACCTTCCATGTATATCTGCCCTAAACCCAGAATCGATTATGCTACTAAACATTTATTATAGTAATGGTATAATGGTACAAGGGTCCATTTGTGTAACATGAAATGAAATCTGGAGATCAGATAACATGATAATATGAATAAACATGTTTCTTGTTTCTCTGCATTTTGACTCAGCGTATATTTGTGTTCTCCTTGTCTTCAGAAACTGATGTTTGACTGGTGTACTGACATCCCAGGGGCTGTTCTGCAAAGAAGTATGGTTCTTGCCATAACTCACATGTAAAAATGCAACACTAGGTAATTCAGCTACAGTGTTACATTTCCACATGAATTTGCATGTATGCTTTAAGCTTGACCTCGAATGGAAAGTCAATACTGAATGCAAGATAGCTTTTTCTCATGGATAAACCAGGCCAGAAGTCAGATTAAAATAGTTTCCTTTTCCTCGATGTCTTTTTGGTATCTCATCCAAGAGATAGCAATCCTCTCCAGGCTGTTCCATTTACAACCTCACCTAACATGCCAAACTATCTATCAATCTTAACAGGTGCTGTTTCTGGGCCAGAGCTGGGGACTCTTTGTGGGACAGCTAGGTTATACCATCCTGCTAGGGAACAGGGGTCAGTTTTTCTGCTGGGCCTAAATGGCACAAACTATTTTCAAGCCCAATTATACACCAGTTAATTAGTGCACAACCATTGGAAAACACCACTCTCTAGGACTTTATATGAGTCAAATTATACTCCTTTTTGGTTGAAAACGTTTTATTTTTTGAAACAAAAAAGAAAAACATATATGTGTATGTGGTTATTAAGATCTCTCATATGGACATAACTGGTGCACAAGTACGCATTCACCTTCAAAAATGATACGTGTGACCTATCAAGGCTGTTATCTCAGTACTAAGTCCACTTTTTCTTTGAACAGCTCTCAACCATTTCAATGAAACATTGCGTAAAATGATCATTACCACCTGTTTTATATTGCATGTATGACTGGTAGGAGTGGTCTTCATAATAAAGAAATAACCAGAACTTTAAGACCAAACTATACCAGTGGGATTGTTATTTTTCAATACAGATAAAGTATTCAATTACAATTTCTTTGAATATGGACTGCAATTCGCAGCTCTCAGATTTCTGAGGCATTCTGAATCTCATTGTTAGTAGATGACGTAAAGATGTATTTATTTGCAAAGCCCAGCCCAAAAATGGACCCTGCCAGACCTGAAAAACGTCTTCTAGAAATACATTTCAGCTGCAGCATACAGACAAACAAGGAAATGGAATCTCAAAGTTTTGTTTACATTTTTTTATTATTTAGGGTTGGGATGAACTTTGCATGGGTAATCTTCTAACCGGAATGCTAAGAAATCCTAAGAGCTCTATCGACAATCTAGATAGACTTAGCTGTGTTTTGTTTAAGTAATGCAGAATTACTTCTGTTTTACAGGCTCTCTTCTGTTTTGCTCTGTTCTCATACATCAACTTTAGCGTTTAACTATACATCTGGAAAACAAAGAAGATTTTTACCCATCTTTCATAACCAATGCAAGGTCATGGTGAGATTCTTTTAGAGATCCATCCATCCATCCATTTTCTGTAAACACTTATCTTATAGGAGGTAAGGAGTCTTTCCTGGAAGCTACAGGTGCAATGCAGGGAACAACCCAGGAGGAGGTGCCAACCCATTGCAAGGTGCACACACACCATTCACACACACACACACACACACACATATCTATGGGCAATTTGGTAAGTCCAATTAACCTCAGCATATTTTTGGACTGTGGGGTGTAAACCAGAGTAGCTGGAGAAAACCCCACAACAACATAAGGATAATGCACAAACCTCACACACAGGGAGCCATGGCAGAGACTCAAACTCTGGTCCCAGAGGTGTGAGGCAACAGTGCTAACACCTGCCCCATCATACCACCACTATAAGTAATTTTAATACAATCATTATTATTCCCGAAAACATTGATGTTTTAATTGTATATGACGTGCCTGGACTTAAGCCAAAGCAAATTGTTCTTGGTTTGTACCTCATCCCTGTTTGGTGATTCGAAATCAGGAAAAAATAACAATAAAAAGTGTTGGGATCTCTCTCACTAAACCTCAGGTCCTCACTAATGCTTTCAGGCAGCCAATGGAGGAGACAGCTCGATGTTAACCACATCTACTACTGAAAAGGGTAAGTAATACTGCACATTACAGGAGGAGGAGGGCACTTTGTTATCATGCTATACGGGAATAAAATCAGGAGAGCGAGCATGATGGGATTCCGCTTACCGGGATTTTGTTGGGGTGCTGCTCTCGGATTTGCTGCACCTCCTTGCAACGGTCAGCTTTAAAAAAAAAAAAAAAAAACACACGGTGTTATAAAGTCAGAATGCAGGCCAAGACTGCAGAGACAGCGAGGAAGCAGTGCAATGAGCCAGACGCAATGCAAATGCCAGAGGAAATACAAGCCGAATTTCCCACTTAATGTCCCACCTGGGACGACATTCCACAGGCCTGCTCTCTAGAATCAAGCACTTCGATTTCTGCTATCCCCCCTAGTTCAGTTCATTCAGACACACACACACTATGGAGCCAATGGACTTGAAAGAATGTCAGTCTTAAGGATTTATGGGGGACTCATAATGCCTTATATTCTTGAGAAGTCTTGATGCTTGGACTGTGCCTCAGCATTAAAATCCCTTTAATCTAACATCTCAGTAAAAAGAGGGAGGGAAACAGGAAAAAAAAACAGGAATCACAATGTGGGACAAATATAACTCAACAGCTGGCTAGACACCCAAATTCTGTAACATAATAACAGTTTGGCCTCTAAACCAAGCGTTCAGTCCCTGCTTTCCCGCCCCCTTGTCAACATGGACCAATCACAGTAACATCTGCGTCCCCCATTTTGGCTACCCAGCAGCCTTTAAAGGTGACGGACAGCATGATTAGCTGACAGACAATGTGACCACGTATCGTTAGAAGTTCAGACGACCCTGCTCTGAGACGTAAGGAGGAGAGGGCAGGAGAGGAACCAGGATGCACAAGAGGAATGGCAGAAAACGGCCAAAAAGCCTAACACAGATGTTTTTAATATAAAGGCTTAAAAAATCCCAAACCAATTGTGCCGTGATCATGGTATATTACACAGAAATTACAATGATCAGTAATTAATTATTACTTATTTATTGGAGAAAATTTTAAAAGTGTACTGTGTATTTATAGGCATTATTAAAACATATACATTGGATAGTAAATTACCATGATAATGTTGTATACACCTACCATTTTTTGTTTTACAAGACTTTACACTGTAAAAGGGTTTGTTTTTTAAATGACTTGTAATCAGATAGCACTGTTCATACATTTTAGGTCTCAAGATGGAAGTGAAATTCTTACTAAATTAATTTATTGATTTTTTTATTTTATTTTTATCTCGATCACACCAAGTTCATTTACTTAAAAAAATGATAATTTTGCACATTCAGGACAATTGTTTTGAGTTTTGGTAAATGATACTTGGGACAGCACATTAATATTTACACAAGCCAACGTTCCAAACATTACAATGCTATGGCTGTTTTGTTCTTAGCCCTAGTATTAAAAAATCCCGAGTCATCACTTGAAACTGTCCTCATTATTAAATCTGTCACAATTACCCTTTGTCTAGAACCCGCCTGAAACCTCTGTGCTTGTAGCAGTAGTGATTAATTCATACATTTCAAATTCCTGTGCATTAAATACCAAACACACTTTCATGGGGCATTATCTACTAACTTCACGGCCTGCTGGTCACATGGGCTGGCAGCCATATTTACCTGACCCCTTGTACGACTTTCTGTTGACTCAGTGGGAAGCACTGTTCTCTTGCACCTCCAGGCCTGGGTGTTTCAATCCCACACCTGCTCTGAGTACATGTGTGCATGGATTTTACATGTCCTCACATGGCTTTCCACCAGCTTTCTCCCACAATCCAAAGTTAGTTGAATCGGTGTCTCTATATTGCCGATAGTGCATGATTGTGTGTGTGTACCCTGTGATGAATTGTCATCCCGTCTAGACATGTACACCCATAAAAAAAAAAATAGGCTTGATTATATTATATGCATATTACCTACATAATTACATAACATTTATTATTGTACTGAGATTATTAGCTAGACTTCTCATGGACATCTTATGATAATTACTACGGCCTAGATTTTAAGGCTATAGGTTTAAATGTTCTTTTTGAAGCCAGTGGCGTGCCTTGTACAATAAGTGAGACACGATCTGCTGATATTAAAACAATAACTCACGAACAACCTTAAAAATGGTATAGCGTATTTACTTCTACATATTCTTTGTTCACATTTGGTGATGTGACCAAGCCTAATTTGCTCTGGATAAAGAAATACCGGGCATAAACACAACATGAATAGACACATGACGACTAGGTGTGGTCGGATTGTCCCAAAAAATATACATTACCGTCTAAATTTTAACCATCAGTTGCAATACTTTAATAGCTAGAAGGGGGAGAAACACACTATACGCCAGCTAGTACAGACACTTACCAAATGTCCTTCTTTGTTTGAAAGGTCTGTCGGAAGGCATATCTCTCTTGCGTCTTTAGTGATAAAAATATAGTTATTTAATGTGTTAAAGTTGCGCTGTCGCGGATGTTGCGATGCTGTTTTCCTTCTTCTACCGCGTCCCCTCTGTAGCGACCAAAACAGCCCCAGACAATGCAATAAACCCCGTCCGTGACGTCACCCCGACGCTTAAAGTGACCGCGTCAATATAAAAAAAGCATGCCTGTTTCTATGCACGTTTATTCTATATTTGTGATCTCTATTGACATTTATTATTTTAATTTTATGCCATTGGGTGATATTGCAGCGATGGCACTAATGCATTATATTGTTATCGCTTGAATCTTATTTTAGTTTACAGCATGTAGTTTTAATACTCAAATTCAGCCAACTGCGATCTAAAAACTTCATATACTCTATATACATACGTGTGTATTTATGTCATAAATAACACACATATAAGTTGTCTCCTGTTTCTAATAATGTAACCATTTATCTTCCAAAACTGACCAAGATTGAATCTTATTCATAATTTTAGTGAACATTTAATTTTTACTTAAGGCTATTCTCATTTTTTATTAAGTTGCAATATATTTAAATAACTCATAATAAGATCAGTGATGGGTTGGGAACCCATCCTGGATTTTCCCCTGCCTTGCACCCATAGTTTCCAGGATAGGCTACAGACCCCCACAACCCCGCATAGGACAAGGGGATTTTGAAAATGGATGAATGAAGACATACTTACAGCAAACATACTTACTTTCACCTGGGTCAGCTTTGTTAGCATTGCAGTTTTCAGTTTACATAAATACTTTAAACCATTCATCTACCCATCTTCTAATTGCTTATCCTGGTCAGGGTCACAGGAGGGCCCGGGGGCCTCTCTCAGCCAGTACAGGAGGGCCTGGACCCTATCCCAGGCAGCACAGGAGGGCCTGGACCCTATCCCAGGTGCATAGGAGGGTCTGGGGCCTATCCCAGCCAGTACAGGAGGGCCTGGACCCTATCCCAGGCAGCACAGGAGGGCCTGGACCCTATCCCAGGCAGCACAGGAGGGCCTGGAACCTATCCCAGGTGCATAGGAGGGCCTGGGGCCTATCCCAGCCAGTACAGGAGGGCCTGGAACCTATCCCAGGTGCACAGGAGGGCCTGAAACCTATCCCAGGTGCATAGGAGGGCCTGGGGCCTATCCCAGGTAGCACAGGAGGGCCTGGACCCTATCCCAGACTGCACAGGAGGGCCTGGACCCTATCCCAGACTGCACAGGGCACAAAGTAGGACATGAGAAAAACATGCAAACTGTACACCTACACACAAAAGGTGGGATTGAATTCCCCACCCCTGGAAACATGAAGTGACTTTGCCACCCTATTTTAAAGTAATCCGAGTAATAAACCAATCAAAACATTTCTACAAGTGTTTGATCTTCTTTTCTATTAAACCAAACATTGTGTTGAATAATAGATTTCAAATGCCCTTAAATTCAAATACACTGTGAAACGTTGTTCTTTATTACAAGGAATGAACTGTGTCATCAGTTTTCATCCATTCTCCATACCAACATAACCGCAGTGGGTCTGGACGTCAGCCCAGAAACAGGGTATGCACACTCCCCACAGAGCCAGCAGGCATTCTAATCCATGTGCCTTTGGGCTGAGAGGAAAACAGTGTAACTGGAGAAAACGCACACAGGAGAACTCCACAGCGGTGCTGGGGCATGCAGGTCTTACATTTGGATCTGGGGGATGTTGCGAAAGACAAAAAACAAGACTTGAAAGAATGAAATTTGCTTGGTGCAAAAACCATCCAGAAGGCTGTCTTTAATGTTGATGTGTTGATGTCACATATCATTCCAAGGTTAATCCCCAATCTGGACATCCCATTAAATGACCTATTCACAAGGTCATTATATATTCGATGGACTAGCCTTAGCTGTTGCAAAATGCATTCCCATCAACAAAGATCAGCTATGGGGACACACCTCACTTTCGCAGTTCTGCCACTGGCTGTTGATCCATTACACAGGACTATTAATGTCCAGCACTTGTCCCAGTGTCCTCTATGTTACCAAAGAGTATGTCTTTTTTTATGTATACATACAGAAAAGCTCTTAAAACATTTTAAAAATGTAATGCTGCAGCATTCTTCTACATTAATATGTAAAGTCAGGGCTGCATATTCTAATTTGAATTTATATATAATGTACCCTGCCTCTCACCCGATGATGCTGGGATTGGCTCCAGCTTCCCCACAACCCAGATGGATAAAGAGGTATAGATGATGGATGGATGGATGGATGGATGGATGGAATTTATATATAATATGTATATTTTAATTGCTATTCCAAACTAAGATATTTTCAATGACAACCGCTACTTTGGGGTGGTGCATGGTTGTGTAAGTTTGCAGCCTGTGTCTGCTTCCAGTTTGAATCCTGTGGCTGAATGAATACTTACGTTACTGTTGGGCCCTTGAGCAATGCCTAAACCCCAAAAAGGGCCCCAGGGGTATTGGAAAAAGGGCCCCTCTTGTTGTTCTGACCCCAAGCTTTGTTGTCCCTCTATGTGTGTATGTGTCTCTCATGGGAAAGACGGGTTTGGTGAAAACCAAGGGATTTCTTTATACTTTGTACAAATGTACAAAAATATATCATTATTTAGTTGAAATAGTATGAGTATATATATACTTACGAATGAGATACGTTCCGAACGGCCGTTCATAAGTCTTTATTCAACATCATTTTAAGGGTATAGGCAAGTACAAAGAAGTTGGATGCTGGGAGTACGTACGCTACGCTGCTGCGCGGCGGGAGTAGCGGCCAGGAGTTTGTACTACCTGGAATTGGCGCGCAGAAAAAAATTTTGATGTTGTAGACAGGAAACGGGAGCCCAAGGAACACAATTTGGACTTACAGTACTCTTCGTTCGTATGTCTGAAAGTTCGTAAGTTGAAAGTTCGTAAGTAGAGGAGTGTCTGTGTGTGTATATATATATATATATATATATATATATATATATATATATATATATATATATATATATTTAGAAATGTAAGATGATTATATGTCAACGCCTTCCAAGGGAAGTATTATTGTCTATAAATATCTCCCAGTCTTCCATAACAGGCTATACCGTACAGGGTGATGGCGATTTTGGAACCTCTCCCAGGAATTACAGGCAGGGGACACCCTGAAGAAGGTGTCAGTCCATCACAGGGCACAGACACAATGGCTAATGTAGACACACCAACTCACCTAACGACAGTGAACAGGCAAACTCCAAAGCACCAGGGACGTGACGCCATGCGATTAGCTACTGTGCCCCCACAGCCACATTCATTTTCTGACATTTAAGCATATTTATGTAATTAGGTACAGCTTATGGTCATTTGAAGTGACAATTAAATGGAGCAATGTGAAACGCAGAACTCCTGAGAAGGGTAGGAGGAATAGCATATGACACATAATAATATTAGTTTGATATAATATTTAGAATATTATCCCTGAAACCCTGTACTACATATGCTGTCTGAGGATGAAATGGGTATATTTAAAATATTATAATTATCAGTTTACATTTTAGTTCTGATAAGGAAATACCACAATTACCCTTTGTCTAGAACTTGTACACACACTTTCCTTCACAAATCACAGCAGACTCTAAGATGGCATACCGAACACCTACCATTAGAGGGCGCTTTCAGTCTGCAGAAAATCTGAGGCAGTTGTGTACACAGTGTCCATAAAGGATGTTATGGATCAAGGCAAGAGGCACATTGGGTTTTATCCTGTGCACTTAAACTGTTATATTTGAGGAGGTATGAGGTGCTGTTTCCATTGCCAGACTCGTGTTTGTGTTAAATTCATGACTGATGGGGATGAATGACCTTCAGAGTTAGAGATCTTAGCTGTTTTTTCTTTGTTACGGGACAGGGTGTATGGACAATATTAGATCTATATTAAGAAGACACTGGCTCCAGTGGAGCTACAGCTATGTTTTGGACCAGCCAGTAACCCTGCTGTGAGGTAGTACCTGCCAAAGCAGCAGTTATGGCCAGCTGGCCCCAGCACTGCAGGAAGATGGCAGAGATGTTGGATACAGGCCCTCGGCACAGGAAAGGTTCTGTCTACCCTGGGCCCGGTCCACCACTAAGGTCAAGGTCTGGAGGTGGAACACTGTCACAAAGAGTTTGCCCCGGCAATGTAGGAGGACAGGAAAAAAAGAGGGAGAATGTGCGTCACGGTGTTGAAAGTGGAATGAATGGTCTTTCTGAAGCTCAAGCAAAGACCGTAAACCCCATTAATGGAGCATGAAGGTGAGGGAGGAAGAGAGAGAGAGCTGGGCTGGATGTAATAAACGCAGAGCAGAAAAGGGGGGTGCAGAGAGGCCAGGAGAAAGAGCAGCAGGAAGCTTTTTTACAGAACAAGGCCTTTCGGTCCATCAAACTGAAGTCAATATGGCAGACTTCAACAATCACATCATCTGAAATTAACTGTGCGCTTTCTAAAGAACAACTTAAAAAACAATAATTTACCAGTATGGAAAAAAACATTCCCAAACACCCTGAAAGAAGGCTAATTTGCATTGTTAGGAGATAACATTCATCCTTTAAGAAATAAAGTTAGAAACACAGCTGTAAAGAACTTCTGTGAACATATTGATTATGTTTGACACTGACTGGGGGCCCATAATTGTGGTCAGGTGAGCAAATGGCCATGTTAGAAGACAAATGTAGGCTGGAATAGATTAAATAAAATGTTAAAAAAGTAATTTGAGTAATACATTACATTACCATAAATCAATAGGCATTGGATCACTCCCAACCCTGAACAGGACAAGCGGTTACAGAAAATGGATGGATGGATGGATGAATGATCATAAATCATACAACATATAAACATAATATGTCAGTCATGCCTATTTAAGACCTCAACTGGTCCAGAATTTAGTGTATACATTAGGTTATGATGACCATCATTGAGAAACAATGGATAGATCATATCTTGACTAAAACAAGGGTTGAAAGTCTTCCTACTTTTCTCTTTTTGACGCTGGGACAGCAGACAAGACCTAATAATGCTTTCCAGACTGTATATTGCTCAGAGAAAAATGAAGTTGCAAATGTGCAATTCTGCAAGCACACACAACAGAACAAGACCTCTGTTGCGTACT